CTAGGTTTTCCCAGAGAGGGAGACTATGATGGCTTTTGACTAGGTAGGAGGCAAACCCACTTTCTCCAATCCTATTTTCTCCTTAACATTTTCTCGATGTTGGTTCTTTATATTGACCTTGTCTCTGATTATAGGCGCCCTATTGATAGAGCGATGATGGAGGCTCTGTATGCTTTTAGGGTGGCATTTTTCCCTCCTCATAAGAGGGCAAAGGCCAATGCCCCTAGTGTCTCTTGACAATCAAAGGGTTATGTTATATGCCAGGAGGCTAGATCAGAGGGTGCCCCCACTCTTTCTCAGTACACAGCTCCTTCGAGTGTTTGGGTTAGTTCGACCACTACTTCAAATGTTGAGACTCTTGTACGACCTTTCGTTGAGACTCCATACTGCATGACATGAATCTGGCCAAGGAGAGACTTTGGGGCTTTATGACTGTTGCGGATATCGGAGAGGTTGGCTCTCAAGGTCCAGAGGACATTATCCATACTGTGATGGAGGAGTTTTCCATGGGATGCCTTTCTACTCAATTTTGATTCTTTATCTACCTTATTTCCTTCTTGTTCTGCTTTTTGAATGCTTGTAGGTGGCTACTGTTTTTCCCTGCCTTTTTTCAAGGATGATCATGCTTGGAGAGTCGTCTAGGGATTTGGCAAAAGAGAAGCAGGCTTCAAAAGACTGCTGAGGAGCAGCTGAGGCTAGCTCATGAGAGAGTCACGCCTCTTGAGACTGAGCTTTTTGGCATCCCACGAGAGGGTCACGAAGCTGGGGACTAATAAGGAGATTATATGCATGAGAACAAAGTCAGAGCTATGAGTGTCTCGAGAGAGGGCCGCAGGAGCTGAAGCCGAGCTACATATAGTTCAGAAGAGGGCTTCTATGGCAAAGGCTGATAAGGAGACTGGTTGCGCGAGAGCAGAGTCAGAAATGTGAACGTCTTGCAAGAGGGCTACAGGAGCTAAGGTCGAGCTACATATAACTCGAGAGAGGGCTGTCATGGTAGAGGTTGATAAAGAGACTGTCTGCATGAGAGTAAAGTAAGAGCTGCGAACATCTTGCGAGAGGGCCTCAAAAGCTGAGATCGAGCTAATTATAGCTTGAGAGAGGGCTCTGTGGCAGAGGTTCATTCCATTGAGATAGAGCTGAGGAAGGAGGCTGCTAAGAGAGCTGTTGCAAACGCCTTTATTGATGGTTATGAAGAGTTTAGGGGAAAGGCCTCAGCAGCTTGTCTTGCCATTGATTTCTCTAACTTCGTCCCATATAAAGCCCTAGAGACAGATGGTGACAGGGAGAGCCTTGATGATAGTGGCTCGGGGAGCAGTGACTGATGTCAGGAGTATGATGACTTTTGTCTTTTGTTTCTCTTTTTGTTGTTAGGTCATGTTCTAGCTATTTACAAGCTTTATGGAATGAAAGAACGATAGTTCTGGACATAATAATCTTTGCAAAGTTTTATTTCATAATTAAAATAATAGATAACAAAATAAATCAACTGAAATGACAAATGACAAATAAAATGAGAGCCACCGGCTTGTACCCTAATAGCATCTCTCCAAGGCTTCCCCATTTCTAGTGTGCCATCATCCCTAGGGTTGAACACTTCCACTTAGATGGTCTCTTGGGGTTTCTTGGTCCTCATAGAGGCCACGTAGCATTCTCTGACATAGACTTGGTCTCCTCTAACTTTTCCAATCCCACAAAGGGTTGAAAATGAAGAACAAGGTGATCAATGGATAGCACTGCCCTCAAGGTGTTAAGTGCACGGCGTCCAATTATGATGTTGTAGACAAAGGGGTAGTCTAGCACTATGAAGTTTACCATGATGGTGGAGCTTTTTGGTGCTATCCCTGCTGTGACTGGCAAGGTGATGGAACCCAAAGGATAAGCCCTCTCACCTGTAAATCCGATGAGAGGCATTCTAATGGGATGTAGTCTTTCCCTACCTAGATGAACACTGTCATAGGCTGGTGTGAACAAGATGTTAGCAGAGCTGCCACTGTCCACCAGAACTCTCTTAATCTAGTAGTTGGCTACCATCATTGCTAAGACCAGAGGGTCATCATAGGAAAATTGGATCCCCTCGAGGTCCCTGTTTGAGAACAGGATGACTTCTTCTTCCCCGTGACGGGGCAACTTCATCAGGCGGGGATCATTTAACTCTGTCTGTCTAGTTCTCCTAGCATGCATCTTCCTAGCGGAGTTGGAGTCACCCCCTCCTCCTAACCCACCGAAGATCATCTGGATCTCTCCGAGGGCTGTTGGCATCCTTTGTCGTCCTGGTTTTTGTTAGGCGGAGGTGCTTGTCCTCTGCCAGAAACGTACTACCATAAATTGCCACGTTGTATGAGCTACTCGATCTGCCTTTTAAGATCAAAGCAGTTATCAGTATCATAGTCGTGGTCGCAGTGGAAGCAAAAGTACTTGTTTGGGTTCTTGTTGTTCGAGGCTATCTTCATCTTCTTTAACTAGCGTACTATAGGATCATCCTATATTTGGAACAAGATAATGCTTTACGGAAGCATTGAGCGGCATAAAGGCTTGTCGCTCTCTCAGAGGCAGGGGACCAAGGCAGTCCTTGACAGAGACTTTCTCTATCCTATTCCTTTTGCTCTCTGCTTCCCATTTGTCCTCACAAGTGTCCTTCCTCTTCTCGCCCCCTACGGGAGGACTCACCTCATCTGACTTTGGTGATGTCCTCAGCATTCATGTACTTTTATGCAATTAACAGCAACTCGGGCATATTGGATGGTGGCTTCTTTAGGATGGAGAACATGAAACTAGAAGAGCATAGACCCGTAATAAAGGCGGTCATGGTCACCTTGTCATTTGGCTCCTCGATCTTGGGGAGAGGCTATCCCGGTAATTACTCTTCATGTGCACTAATCTTCCTGGACGCCTTGAACTTTGGTCTGGGTCGAATCCATGAACTTGGTTTGACCTGCCTTGTAGCTAATTTGGACTTACTTAATAAATTGGGCCTGACCCAATTGAATCTGGGCTCATCATTTGTTAGGATGTGTTATTTTGATAACGTAACCTTTTGTTGTCACAACGTTTTCTTATTTTACTTTTTCTTATTTTGGCATATAAATTTATAATGTGACCAGGAATTTTTGGTAAATATTTTTAAATGCTCATATATGTTTAGTAATATAACCGTATATATTATGGTAATAATATGGTATATATTGGAGATTATGGCAGTATTTTTTTTTTGATAAATTAGATGTATTTTAAATTATGATTCTGATATAAGAAATATTCATCTTTTAGTTCAGTAACACCGTGTTGTCACACTATCTATCCACTCTACATGAAGTCACTTAATATTGTTACACTTAGTTGAGAAACTTTAAAGTCACACATTCTTTATTTTTGAGTTAATATCAATTCTATGTTGTTTTTATAGAGTGTTGTGTTGATTGAGTTACTTTTTATTGTCACATTATCTAGATTGTTGTGTTGTTTATTTTGATCCAAAAATTTATTGTACAGAACATATATCGTATGAAAAAATTATATCATGTCATAACGATATTATAGAACAAACGAGTGATTGACCAGCACGTTAAACAGCACGAATATTATGTAAAAAATGAATGAAAACATAATTTTAAACCTGATGTTTGATTTGTAGTTCAAACCTGATATATAATTTCAAACTTGATATATAATTAGATTAATGGTGTATTGGAGAAAAGAAAAAACAAAAATTGGGTGGAGAAAAAGAAAATCGATAATGGCTAATGGTTGGATAAGAAGAAATAACATAATTTTGATGTCAAATATACTGAGAATATTATTCAAAATTCAAAATGGATGATATTAGAAAGAATAGACGTTATTTTGACAAAAAACACTGACAATATATTTTATCCATAAATTTAGAAAATATTTAATATAATATAAAAAATTCATGACACAAAATAACTATCATATCTAATATGCGTGATTTAAAGCAAGGGCAAATACATCAAAAAAAATATGAAAAACTCAAAATGTGTGCCTGAACACAATAAAATTAAAAAGATGAGAACTAAATTACTTAACAATGAGTTATGTCTGTTAAGACTAATAAATATTATATTATGTACCCCATGACAATTCTCCGAAGAAAGAACTACCAGCAAAAAGGCCCAGTAAAACTCCAGGCAAATCATAGATTATCTTCATGTTACTTGACCCACTAACACATTACTTCATAAACCTACGCACTACCTCCAGTGATTTTGCACCACATTGAAAGTTATAATTTTCAGTGAAAACGAATGGCTAAAGGTCAAAAATCCGCGGTTTGAATAAAATAATATCTTAAATTGACCTTTACACCAATAATGGCACCGATATTCTATTTTTTTCTCGAAAATAAATAAATTCATTTCTTGTCATATTATGTAGATTTCTAAACTTGTATAATAATTTAGTAAACAAAAAAATAATAATACCTTTCAGTATTTTTTTCCTTAAAAAAAAATTTCTTTAATGTCTATCAACCCTGTTAACAATTATAATTTAACCATAGAATTCAAGGGGGTAAGTGTAGATTTTAATAAAAGGAGGCAAAATGTCGCGGATTCAGTTTCTTATTGTTTTATCCCCTAATGGTTGGCGGCAACCAGGGACATGATTTAAAAAATGTTCAGGTAAATTACAATCTACAGAACCATGGACATGATTAATAAATGTTAAGGTAAATAAGAAACTTAGCAACAAGGGAGAAAACGATAAGAAACTTGGCAACAAGGGATAAAACAATAAGAAACTTAGCAACCAAAACAAACTGTGCAAAAAGATGTATTTCAAAAATCCAGAATAATTACCATAAAATAAATGTCAATACATATGATTATTAGAATCGACTCAAAATGTGGTTCACATACGGAACACACTAATGCAACAACCACCACATTAATGACTCATAACAAATGATGCAATAGTTTATGAGCTCAAAAGGCAATCAGTAACCAAAACCAAGGACGTTTCAACCCCAAATTCACCTCAAATCAATCATCGTCATCATAATTGAACTTCACAGAGTGAGATTGCAGGTCAATCTGCCCACCTCTATAGCTACCACGCTTCTTCTTTGTCTTTTCATGCCGAAAATCCCTGGAAACAGAGACAAAGAGTTTTGTAAGCTTCATCCATTCTAAACCAAAACAAAATCTAGAACTAAGCGCATCCTCCAACATATCATCAAGTTTTGGCATCAACATGTCTACAAATAAAAAGGAAGCATCTCTCGCTATATTAGAGAACTGTAGAACTTAGTGCCATATGAATATTCTAATCTCTGCAAAATAACAACTGGTTTTCTAAGTGAAGTTTCACATTACCTGGTCCTTCAGACCAAACATATCCTTCATTGAAACTACATATAATAGCATCGCTCCCTTCTCCCCGCCCACGTAAACACGCTGTTACTAGTAATTATACAACTAGAGATATCTGCCACCTATTATTCTGCTGCCCAAACATCGCATGAGGATTGCTCGTATTAAAAACCTAGCAGGCAAGGTCAAATGGTTCCACATACAGCAATCAATAAGGAGGTATTATCCACAAACTTAGTATACACCAACGAAGTACGGACATGAATCAATATATGGATAAAATACAATACAAGTACATGAATATAACAAAACCTAAAAAAATAGGACATGGATACATTTAGGATATGTCAACCATAAAATATTTTAAATTTCTACTATTATCAGCCATTCGATAATTATAATATTCAGTAAATTGTTTAACCATAATTCCAAAAATATTTTTTTATTGTCAAATTAGTATAGATCGCCTCATTATAGTAATACCCATATAAGGAACGTTATAAATTAAAGGAATCATAATCACCATTTAAGTAGTTGATTTGCATTTTTTTAAATGACCACTATACCCTTGAGTATACCAATGTTGTGAAAAGCGAGCTTAGGCCAGAATCGAGGCGAAGTGCCCCTATGTTGCCTAGAACAGGCCGGGCAAAGGGGTCATAGGTGAAGCGAGGGAAAAGCGAGAATAGGCAAAGGAGTGAACAAGCGAGAATAGGCAAAGGAGCGATCGCCTTAGTGATTCTTCTGGACAAACACCAAAGGTATGTCCTCTGATTCTTTTCCTCTTCTACTTCTTCCCTTGTTTTTCTTCCGATTTTCTGGTTCTTCTTCTCCTCCTTCTCTTCTACTTCATCTACGTCTTCCCCTATTCTTCTTCTACGCATAGAGCATGTTCTGTTTTTTTTTTCTTGTTGGGTTTCTGATTTTCTGATTCTTCTCCTCTTCTACTTCCCCTCTTTTTCTTCTGATTTCTGGAACTCTGTTGTTGTGATGCTGATTCTGTTGGAACCTCCTCTTCTACTCTATTTTTTTTTGCTATGTTCCTGATTTTCTGATTCTTCTCCTCTTCTACTTCTTCCCTCTTCTTCTTCTGATTTCTGGAACTCTGATGTTGATTCTGCTGGAACATTCTTCCCCTCTTCTTCTGATTTTCTGATTCTTATTCTTATGACATCACATCATAGCATACAATCATACTAAATGTGTTGTATGTCGACCAATAGTGAGAGTGATGAGTGAATCTCACCTTAATCACTGCAAGAGCTATTTGGTTCATTGTTCTTTTGATCCTACTCGTGCCCTTGGTTCAAAACTATGATATGAAGAGGATGTTCAATGTTTCAACTTTAGATTGTTTACCTAGGACCACGCTAAGTTATTTAATGCGTGAAGCAAACCGAAGTGAACAAGTCTCCTGAAACTTATTCGAGAAGCGAGAGGCAAAGTGAGCGCTTCATCGAAGCAAAGGGAACAATAAAAAAACAAGCAAATATTTTATATCTAAACCATCACAGATGAAAAATCTGGTCAGTAGTACCGAACCATTACATATGAAATCTTTTGCATTACAAATAGGAAGCAACAACAAAAATTATATGGTTTTCTACTAAATTAATCCTTTCTGAAAGAAGCAATTGAACTACGCATAACAAAGCAACATAATCAAACAGGAATAGTCTAAAAACAAATACAGCTGAATCAGTCTAAAAAACAAGTGCAAAAAACCAGCATAACAAATCAAAAAACTAGAATAATAAAGCAGAAAACCAAACTAACAAAGTAAAAATTAATCTAAGCATAACTGCATGACACAACAGAAATAGAGGGGGAGGTTCTAGCAAAACTAGAAACAGAATCAACATCACAGCAGAATCAGCAGAAAAAAAAAACAACAAAAATAGAGTAGAAAAGGAGGAAGTAGAATTAGCATCACAGCAAAAAAAATGAAAACAAAATAGAAGAGGAGAAAGCAGAATCAACATCACAACAAAAAAAATAGAAACATAGTAGAAGAGGAGGTTCCAGCAAAACCAGAAAATCAGAAAAGATAGGAAGAATTAGAAGAGGAGTAAAAGAATCAGAGGACGTAGAATTAAAAAATTCACTAAAGCAATCACTTATTCGTTTTTTTTGCTTCTTTATTTTTGCTCGCTTTTCTCTCGCCTCACTTACGTTCATTTCGCCCGACATGTTCAAGGCAACATAGGATCACCTTAATTTGCTTCTCGCCTAGGCTTGCTTTCACAACACTGGGACCACGAGAATGTATGGTCTAAAAGGGCATGTCTAGTAGAGCATTTAAATCAAATTAGACCAGTATGAGGTCTTAGGGAAAGACTATTCAATAATACACCCCATTTGTGCCTCATAGTTAGAAGGTGACTTTGTCGATTTGTTCTTAATTTAGGTCGTGTGTACATTACATATTTGGCATGAAGCACTTCTTATTATAAGGGAATAAAAGTACTTGACATAATGTAGTCAAGAGTGTCTAGGTCATATCCAAGATGCTTCTAAGGCATGCGCTTTGTGCTTTGTTAGCCTAGTAATGACTTACTTTTGCGCCGTGTACATGCTTTTCACCGGGTCACATGATCCATTTCCTATATGAGATGAGCACACAAAAGACTTGGAGAGATCATGGAGTTTACTCACCCCATGTGGGCAAAGGGGGATGTTAATAAATTAGGTCAGTCGTCTATCAATCCAAACCCATGATTCGCCTACATGGTTGATGGATCCCACCTAGACAAGGATAGTCAAACCTAGGACATGGACCCATATCTCCTAATATGGGTGAAACATAGGGTCTTCCAATCCTTCTCTATCTACAAAAGGAGATACATAAATAAGGACTCTCTCTTTGATAATCAGATTTTCGCATTCAACATCAAACTCCCAACTCTCTCTCTCTCTCTCTCTCTCTCTCTCTCTCTCTCGTCATCACCATAGCTCTTGGATTTAGGTTCGTGGAAGCAAAAGAAGGAACTCTAGTAGTCACTCCTTCAATCTATTCGTGCAAGGACTTCGTCAGCTTGTAATCACCCCATCTCAATTTGAACCTAATGCAATCAAGTTTCTTGAAAAAGAAGAAATAGATGTTAATACGTCATTATGAGTAGCAAATGGTCATTTTGGTAATTTAATGTACTCTTAGTGATTTGGCAGAGGCTATAAGTCCAATCAAAAAAGATAGAGCCTTTGGCTCCTTATCTCTCCCCTCTCTCCATCATTTTTCTATCCTTGGGATTTAGGGCAGCCTAATGTATTTCAAGGTTTCCTCCCCGTCTTTCTTTCATCCCCTTTACTCTCTTTGAGGTTTCATGGCTTCTAGGATTTCCCCCATATCTTGCTTGTCTTTCTCCCCCTCAATATCCTATCTTTTGTATGCAAATCCTTATATATGGATGAGTATAAACTTTAATTTTTGAATTTTGCCCGTCAAATGTTCGATAAAATGCTCAAGAGGTAGGTTACATTAGTTTGGTATCAAAGCCAAAGCTCAATAAGCTCCATCCAACATTGTGGTTCTCTCGCTGCCATAATTGAAGTCCTTCTTGTGGCGGTCTTTTGAAGAGACTCATTGAAGATCTTTGTTACAAATTAGATGATATTGAAGGCTTAAGGATAGGGCTACAAGCCATCACAATAGTGAAGAAGATCAAGAGTTTTTGAAATTTTCATAATCGCTCCAAAATTTTTACAAATTACAGAACAGACCCATACTTTTTCTAAAATTCCAAAATACTGCCCTGACTTTCCCAAAAAAGTGAGTACAGACCCAAATTTTCCAAAAATTATAGAAACCCCCAAAATTTCCCAAATTTCAGACATCCCAACTTTACAGAAAAGCCCTAAAAGATTCAGAAGTTTTAGCAATTTTCAAAGCAAGTTCAAGGAAACTTTAGCACATGGGAATTTATAGGCTCCTTCAATCTTTGGTTAAGCAGCACCAACCATCACGACTTGACCAGCCAACGTTATTCAACAAATTTGAAGCGATGGAATCAATTGTCACACTATCTTGGTGCATGATTAAGAGCGAATTTCCTTGTGGATTGAATGGAACCTTTCTTTTTTTTTTTTGAAAAACTCAAGGACGAGTTTCCTCCAACAAGGGGGGTTTGATGCAATCAGGTTTCATGAAAAAGAAGAAATAGATGCTAATATGTCTTTATGAATAGCAAAGGGTCATTTTAGTAGTTTAATGTGCTCTGAGTTTTGGTAGAGGCTATAAGTAAGCCATCAAGGGTGCAATGAGTGGGAGGCTATAAAAATGTAAGTCTTTGAGTCTAGATAGAGCCTTTGGCTCCTTATCTCTCCCCTCTCTCCATCTTTTTTCTATCCTTGTGGATTCAGGGACCCCAAATGTATTTTAAGGTTTTCTCCCCTTCTTTACTCTCCTTTAGGTTTCAAGGCTCCTAGTGTCTCTAGGATTTCCCCCATTTCTTGCTTGTTTTTCTCCCCGTCAACATCCTATCCTTTGTAAACAAATCCTTATACATGGATGAGTCTAAAACTATGTGTTCGATAAAATGCTCAAGAGCTAGGTAACATCAGTACCCTAAGGAACTAAGATGAAGCTTTATTTCACATAATTGCAGAGTTGAGATTGAAAGAAACTCCCCACTCCCATTAGAAAGCAACACCAGAGAGACGTAGCAAAAGTTGGTCCTGAACTTTCTAAAGAAGTCAAACTATTCCACTTAGTAGCCTCTAGAATTGTTCTACCTAGCAAATCAACGCCACCCAGTTTTATAACAATGGAAACACTAGCAAACCAACTATTTTCTGTAATTCTCATTCCAAAACTCCTAGATGCCGCCTTTTCTTTGATAATAAAACGTTCCTTACAATCTCAAGCTCATGATTAAAGTGTCTAAAGTATTCTTCCTCGTCAGTAACCTCAAAAGCATAGTCGTTCCTAAGATCATGAAGTCCAATTTTGCATAGTAACTCTACCTCTCTCGCTCTATGTCTGCAAAAAAATGATTTGAGGAGAGTATGTTGTTACAGGTCAAAAGTACATAAAATAGGTTTCTTACACCTTCTCTCTAGACAACAAATATTTCTAAGCAAACCAACTAGTTAAATGTTACTTTTGGTTCCTTTAATTAGCCACTTCCACTTTGTGTACACCATAATGAGACAATCTATCCTTCCTTGAAAGTAAAAAAATACTTAATTTTTCAAATTATTATCGAGGAATTTACTAAAATTTGTTACTATAAAATTGCCATATACTAGTAAAAATAGAAAAAAAAAAAATTTCGTAGATGCAATCTAACTTTATTTTTTAGGTTTTGTCATATCAATTTGTCCATATCATATCATACTCGGATTTTGTATCGTATTCATACTTCCTAACAACACACATAAATAAAGAAAGTTTTATATTTGCGATCAATAGCTCAAAACACCACTACTGCGTCTTCACCGCCAATATCTCTCTATAACATGTTGAATTATTTCTTGAAAAAGGAACAAATCCTTCTCCTTCCCAACTCTTCACTTAGCCACATCGAACAACGTCTTGTTATTAGTTCACTATTCTGGTCTTATATTACTCATAAAATAGAAACCCACAGTGGAGGAGAAAGAATAATCTGAATTTGCCTAGTTGCGATGAGAGAGAGGAATTTGCCTTTTTTTGCCCTTTTGTGGTCTCTAAAATAAGACTGGGATGACTTTAGTGTTTGAGGACTTTTATATCTAATAATTACTCTGCAAGTAAATTTAATGACTCTAATATGGCTAAATAATGGAACTCATCCTAAATCAGACTTGAGAATCAGATCTAAGTCAGACTGTTTATCATTTTCAAACGGGATACCAAGATCCTGCAATTGACATCTCTTGAAGAAATTAAAGGAATAAACCCTAACCAGAGGTATTTGTATGTTGCCCATGGTCAATTTCTTGCCTAGGATAACATGATTGCTGAAGTAGAACAAATGTGCACAAAACGAAGTAAAAAACATACCTTCCTCTAACCTGGCCTAGAATTTCTTGTGCTTTCGCACCATAGCCAACGTTTGCACCATCCTGCAGGGTATTAATGTAAACACTATAAATGCTTGTCCCAACTATTTGAAGTTGGCAACATAAAAAAAGTCAAAAGATTCAAAAAAACTAAATGGAGAAAATAACAATCCATCACCTTTGCCCAGTAAGAATTATCTTGAAGCTTCTCATCAGCAAATTTCACCTCATCGACCTTCACCCTTTGAAATATGTTTACTGCCTTTGGCTGCAAGAATGGCACCCATGAAAACAAAACTTGAATAAATTTTTCGTTGTTCTTCTCAATAAAATAAGATAAAATAACATCAAAATAGATGTATAGGATGGTTTGTCTTTTGGGAGAATTGTGACTGAAATTTTATTGCTAATGCCCTTCAACATGTTATTTTATTTATAATTATGAGAGAGGCAGAGAATAGTATATTAAGCCCTATCTCTCATTCTCAACTTATATTTATAATTACATAAGAAAACATAAAGGACTAGTATATCCATAGAGAGGTATACTTATTGCAGCTATATTAAATAGTAACAATATAATAGTACCACTCTCGACGCTCCTCCTCAAACTGGAGTATATATATTTATATAATTGAAGATTGGAACAAATAATTGTAAGACGAGTACGACTCAATACTTTGGTTAAAATATCTGCAAGTTAATCCTCAAATTTCACTAATGGTAATCCATTATCTCCATTTAGTATCTTGTCTAAAATAAAATATCAATCAACTTCGATATGTTTGATCCTCTTATAGTATACTAGATTAGCAGCAATGTGAAGAGCTACCTAATTATCACATAAAAATTATAAGGAAAGTCAGAGAAAACCAATTTCATGAAGAAATTGCCTCACTAAACTAACTGCATCTGAATATGGTATTCTAGGGCATCCCATAAGTTACCTCAGTACACTAACAGCATATGCAATATCTGGTCAGGTAATAGTGAGATAATTTAGCTTTACAAACCAACATGTGATATTGACCTGGATTATCAAATTGTGCACCATTATCCATCAACAACTTCTGGTTCGGATCTATAACAACATCGATTGGTCTACCACCAAGCAAACATTTTCTATGAGACAAATAAATGTCATGCTTAGATTTGAAAACTTCAATACCCAACAAGTACCTAGGTCTTTAGTATGAAATTTTAAAATTACCTTTGAAAACTTTACCAAACCACGCCCTCAGTGAGGGCTTTAAACAATACAGTGATTTTTTATAAGCCAACCAACACTCTTACAATACCCCCCCCAAAAAAAAAACAAAAAACACACATAAGCAACAAACCAAATGTGGCTGCTTCATGTACATTTTCTCAATCAAGTTACCGTATAAGAAGGCATTTTTTACATATAAGTGAACCAAAGATTAATCAAGATTTGTAGCCAAAGAAATCAATATACAAACAAAGAAGAAATTTTTAGAACAAGAAAAAATGTCTCCTCATAATCAATGTCATAAATTTGAGTAAAGTCCATGGCAACAAGTCAGGATTTGAGGCATTCAACTGAACTATTAGGATTAAATTTGATTGTATACCCCGCCAACAACCAACAACCTTTTACCATGGCGTAAAAAAATTAAAAAAAAATCTCAAGTCCTATTATGACGTAAGTAAGGATCAAAATTTCGTTTCGAAACATCCGAAACTTTTCCATTTCCAAGGAGACTGAAACAAATTAGTAATAGAATCGAAATTCTAATACTTCGAGGTGTTCAATAATATTTTGAAATGTTTTGTTATATTTCAATGCATTTGCACAATTGTTTCAGAATGTTTCAAGATATTTCTAGATATTTGTGGTATAATTCGACTAATATTTTAAAAAATAATTCTTAAATTTTTTTTTTTATTCTCTTTCTGAAACGGGTCGAATCGTTTCCGAAACTCATCAGGTGACCAAAACAATGCACCGAAACAAAACTTTAATCCTTAGATGTAAGGCATTCATCTCCACCTCCTTAACTTTCCTCCAACCCAAATCAGATTAAACGCCCTATAACCCTTAGGAATAGAGACAGTAGAGAGTTGAGATATAAAACAAGAGAAAGCAAGAGTCAAGACATTAAAAGCAACAAAATTATTAATTTGATGGTTAGTAACAAAAGACCGAGTGCCTTTAAGAAGTTCAATGGGTATAGAATCAAAAGTAATAGGGAGACTAGGATTAAAAGACGGTGAGAAAGACGATGGTGGCACCTCACTAAATGGCCTTTGACAATAAGAGTACATGGAGCGAGGTAGAAGAGGACGGTGAAGATAAAGCTAGAGGTGGGGTTAATAGACGATGAACTGACAAATGGTAATCGAAGAGGTGGGGGTGAAGGTGACTGCTCAAAGTCAAGATCAAGAGGATGAGCAAGGGGTGGAAAATATGGGATAGATTCAATTAAGGAGACATCAACACTAGTGAAGTATCTGCGAAGTATGGGACTACAGCAACAATACCCCTTCTTTGTGCGAGAATTACCAAGAAAGACACATTTTTGTAGCACTAGTAGCGAATTTATCAAATCAGTCGCCCAAGCTGTGCACATCTCAAACACACTCAAAGACCTTAAGAAAAAAAAATAGAATGTAGATTGTGTCCATTTATTAATGAAATGACAGTTGTAAGAATAGCATCACCCCAAACTGAAACAAAAGTGCCTGAATCACTTCTAATAGATGATAATTCCTACATTCAGCCTCAAAATTTGGGGGGTGTGGACACATAAAATTTGATGAATAATATCAGCTTCACAAAGATAAGTAGAAAAAAGATCAAAGTCATATTCAAGAGCATTATAAGAATATTAGAATATAGAATGTAAATACCAGAACCATACTGAGTTTTGATTTCTTTACGGAATGTCTCAACTATAGAAAATAATTCAAAATAAGCTTTCATAAGAAATAACCAAATCACATGAGAATAATTATCCACAAATATCACAAAATAAAAAAATTTATTATTGAACTCATACATAATAAACTAACTCAAATCGACTAGAGACACAATTATTGACTCGAGACTGAAATAACACACGTTGATGCTTACTAAGTTGACAAGCTTCATAAAATGCAGACAACACAACTAAAACTAGGAACTTGACACTTCAAATTTCGGAGAGATTGATGACCAAGGCAACAATGGCACTAAATTAGAGATGATGAGATTTAAAGTGTGCAAGGAGATGGATCAATCAAAGTAATAAAGACCAACTTCATGCCCCGTACCAAATCTTACGTTGCCAGGAAATCCCAAAAGATACAATAAGAGGGAGAAAAGGTTACTAAGCAATGAAGTGAACGAATAATTTGATTAACAAAAAGGAAACTAGAAGAAAACTGAGGGATAAATAAATCAGATGATAAGGATATATTGGGACTCAATTGAACAGTTTCCAAACCTGAAACCTAACAAACTACCATGAGCAAGAATAACACTTCGAGTCAGAGTAACAGAATGAAAAGTAGAAAATACACCGGATGAACAAATTGTGCGATCAAAAACACAACAATCTGTAATCCAAGGGTTGTATGAGGAGGACAGTAAACAAGTGGAAGCGGTCCTGAATAGGCAAAAGTAGTTGTGGAGGAAGATGATATTGCCTATTTCTAGGCCATAAACTAAGCGTACTCCTCTCATGTAATAATAACTAACTCAGGGCTAGGGGATCGAACGTGCTGATGGTGGAGGCAATGGGGTGATATTCTCATAATAGGAGACCTGATTGGCATCGCCAGATGACTTGTCATGTAAATCTCAACAATATTCTGTGATGTAGATAGTACGACTATAATGAGTAAATAAACGGGTACCACAACAGCCACCACGACCTCCACTTCATCCCCCTCGAGAATCACAACCACAACGACTACTACAATTGTCATGGCCACCTCAAGTACTATATTGTTGTCATTGGAAACAACCAAGGCTGAGCGATCAAAAGAAGAACCATGATCAATGCCTAAAATAGAATGGTCATTCAACAAAGTAGCACGTTGTAAGTGAGAAATGACATCCGAAAGAGAAAGAAGAGTTAGACGGGCTAAAATTTGTGCACAGATAAACTCATATTCAAACTTGAAACCAACAAGAAAACGAAAAATATCAAGATCCTCACATTGTCATTGCATAAGGGCAACTTTAATAGTGATTGCTCGGTGCAACCTCAATTCTTCACAAATACCCATAACTCTGGAATAATGGTCTTCTAAAGTCTGAGTACCCGTACTCAAGGCAAAAATATTACTGGCATGCCTCATAAACAAGAGAAATATTAGTGCCAGAATGCATATGTGTCAAACGATCCCAGATTTTCTTAGCAATATTGAGATAGAGCAATGTAGAGTTGATACGAAGCTCAATGCTATTCAACAGTAAGGAAATAATTTGTGCATCCTCTTGTTCCCACTCATCAAAACCAAGGTCACCCTCATTTGCTTTACCTCCAAGTCCCACCATATACTTTAAAACTTTTGTGTTTAAGAAAAACTTGAACAGACCTGGACCAGAGAATGTATTAGTCCCATTAAGCTTGACGGAAACCATGGAAGCATTAAAAAAGAAAGTCATGGAAAGGGTTGGTGGAAGAGTTGGGGCAAGAGTGAAGGAAATAATGGGTGAAAGGGTGATGTATTTGCTTTGTGAAGGAAATTTAGGTACATCTTGTACCAAGTGCCACTTGGAATGCATTCCCTACGTTGTATAGTGGTTGTCCAAGTAATTCTGCCTTTATATTTGCCATCAAACCAGCCTTAAAGTGAGCAATTGTTTGACAGGAGTTTTCTATGATTCGACTTTGCAACATCAACTCTTCAAATCTTTGAATATACTCTTCTACAAATAGGTTGCCTTGTTGTAGATTGCCAAGTTGTTTGCACAACTTGCCATAATAATTTGAAGGCATATACTGCTCCTGAACTTTAGCTTTCATATCTTACCATGTGTTGATTGAGAGCAATCCTAATTTTCTTAAATCTCCTTCAACACCAACCCACCAAATTTTTGCCAAGCCTACAAGTTTCATCTTGGCAAACTTTATTCTCCGCTCGTCCACGTTTCAGACAAATCCGAATATGTTTTAAACATATTGAGGTTATTTATAATTCTTTTAAATAGTAGGGTTATTTTGTTATTATATAAAAATGTGTATCTTGTGTAATAAACTATAGGATCTAAAATTGAAGAT